CTTTGTTTTTAATTATTTTTTATTATATAATCAATTACCTACCGAAACACATGTTGTTTCAAAAAATTTATATAACTTTAAATTAAGGTTGATGGGGAAAACTCGAATACTTTTTTTCGCTAAGTAGTCCGAAAAATATGTATGAACTTTTAATCGTAACAGGTATGTAGGTGCTTCGCCTTACAGTTTTAGATTTTGTTGCGCATCATAAGATAGCAAAATTGATATTACGCTTCCAATTACTTGAAAAGATATCTCCTTCAATAAAATGTTTATGAAATTGAATAGTCTATAAAATGGTTTCTTACTATAACAGTTGAAGTTTGATTATTTTGAGGCAGCCGCATAATGAAGTCATTTGGTAAATTGTCGCTCTCGCGTAAAGAAATCATATGCAATATTCGGGTACTGACTCGTTTAAGGGTTCTGCGAAGCCTTCTATTTATATTATTAAGTGCTTATTCAAATTATTATTATATAATGTTATATGCTCATTAATAATACCATACTATTATTATTATTTTATTTTTCAATTTATTTTTAAGAATATTTATATTTTTCTAACCAACCAATTTCTCGCAGTGTCACACCATTAAAGTGTCATAGCAAAGCTCGCACATAAATCTCAATCAGAATCAATAAATTCATATTGTGCCATCACAGAATAGAAAAGAAATCGATACGAAAAGGGGAAGGAACAGCAAAACGTACATACAAATATATAATAACCGCAAATTATATACTACATGCACACAAACGCATTTGCTAAGAGAACCTGCTCGAGGAGTCTATTGTGAGGGCACACACAGCTAAGTATATAATTTAAACTCACAACTATTTGTGTGTGAGTGTGTGTGGAGAGAGCATCACAGTATCGCAATACGATTTAATGACATTCGGAAGTGAATTTATTCCAGGTCGTGCTGAATTTTGATTTAAAAATCATAACGCAAACACGCTGACTATTCTATATAAATAACGTGCATACACACACATACACATATGAGATTGAAGAGCGCTGTGCGTACTACACACAAGAAACTAAAATAAATAAAGAAGACCAAACAAAATCTGAAGAGGATGCCCCAAGTGTGCGATTTCCGATTGACGACAGGTAGCGGACGACGGCGTCCGACGCGCGGTGGAACGCGCCGAAGGTAAATAAAAGTGAATAACGGTATGCGACACAGTCTAACAAATGCGTATGTGTAGCGGCAAAGTAAAGGTATAAATTTATGAATATATTCAACTGAATAAATATGTTTGCATGTGTGTGTGCGCAACAGATTCTCGCATTAATGCGCTGGGCGGCGACGTGAGGAACTGCGCTGAAGCGGCGGCGCTCGCTACTACAGACAAGACGTTGGCTCTTGGCTCAAGTGCACAACAATACAAAAACAAAAACAACACAATAAAACAGTAAATCGAAAGCAAATGGAAGAGAAGCAGGCCAGGGCCAAGTCAAATTATAGGGCGTGCACTGGCGGAAGGAAGTGTGACTTACTAAGCGTGTGTGTCTGTTTGCGTTTATGTGTGCGTGTATTGGTGTACGGTAAAGGACACTTCAGCGAAGACGATGACGCTGTTACTGCCAAGAAGATTGCAAATATAATAAAAATTGATTAGAATTGCGTCACACGCACACATACACACATATATGTATGTGTATGTTTATTGAAATATAAACACAAATATAAACAACAACAAAGCTGGCATACTTTTAGAGCGCAGTGTGAATGTGTAATGCATGTGTGTATAGTTGTGTGTGTGTGTGCGCGCGTTCCTGAGCCTTGGCAGCACTTGACAGGCAATCGTAGCCAAGACTAAACGGATGGCGGCGCGGACGACAGGTCTAGGCCTGTCTCTTATACACATCTAGCACTTGACAGGCAATCGTAGCCAAGACTAAACGGATGGCGGCGCGGACGACAGGTCTAGGCTACAGACATGCCACAAGAAATTCGCACGCACAGCACACACCCTCTTACACACACACACACACACCAGGTTTGCAGTTTTTTTCAGCTACTTCGTTGCTTTTACTTAAAAATCGCCTCCTCTGTGGGAGTTCGCCACTCCTTGTTACACTTGCTGTTGTTGTTTTTGCATTGGCACGCAGATGAATGAGCTGTGGATTCCA